TATAGAAATATATTATTTTTATTTTTTATTTTTTAGTTCTAAAAAAAGTTTCTTGCAAAATAAGTGATGTTTTAGCTTGTCATATGCATATACTAATTGTTTCTTATAATTAATTAAATCTTCTCTTATGTTTTTATTGGTTGAGGTAGTTATAGTTAATAATGATTTTTCTGTAAGAAAATAAAAATAAAAATGATTTTTTGTGTGTTTATATATGTGCTAAAACCTTAAACTACAAATATATAAAAACCAAGGGACTATATAGATCATATTTCATATTGGCCAAAATTAGTTGAAGTATGCATTAGTGATGCAAATAAATATTTCGGAGAAGGTAAAGAATATTGAATCATAGAGAGAAATAAATGTACATAATCACTTAGATTATTTTTTAAAGCTATCTTTATTTTTTTTTGTTTTAGAAATAGAGTTTTCTGAAAATAGAGTAATGTTTGCTCCAATAAATAGTTCTATTTATTAAAAATAATTTTATCAAATATAAAATTTAGAGTCAGATTTGAAGCATTATTAATTGAATGTTCTTAAGCAGTTGGATTTTACATATTTATCAGAAAGTCTCGTACAAATTTGGAAACTCTACCAAATAAAATGTTTAAACTTTTTCAGAGAAGCACTATTATTGAGTCCGAGATGCACCAACATCCAATGTTATGCTATCAAACTGTCGTGTCCAAATGTGATGTCGCCACTTCTTTCTCTGGTTCTTGTAGAAGTACTACGGAATTTTAGGTTGCAGAACCTTTTGGAATACTGTATGTTCATTTATGTATCATGTTACCCATTCACAACATAATTATATAGTTCTGAAATAACGAATCAAACACTCGTACGTACAATTCAACAAAAGAAATGAAAAAGTGTTTTTCTATAGAAACACATATATAGTATGGTTTTAAAAAAACTCCAATTTTATGTGGGAATGTTTAATTTTATTTATTTTTAGTTTCAAAAAATTGGATTATTTATAGAGTTAAAAGGTTTTGTGCAAATAAACCCTCCAAATCGCAATTTATTCAATTTTACCTTTCAAATCCAAAAAATGCAAGTTAATCCTGCAAAGTCGAAATAAATACACAATATACCCTGTTTCTGCTACTTGTAAAATTTTTAGTATTAATATATCATATCGAAGCCCTCGTGACTAGAAGTTCAAATATATCTTTAGAATTTTTAAAAATAAATGTATGTGACCGTAAAGTCGTTTAGAAAAATAAATTTATCTGACATAATATTGTGTATTCTTGACTTAATATGAATGTTTTATATTTTTCGGATATGGTAAATAGAATTGCAAAAATTGACGACTTGAAGAGTTTATTTGCACAAATCCCTTATTTTTAACAGTTAATAAATTTTTATCAAGAAATTCAAAGTTATAACCTTTTAGTTAAAGTTTATATAATTGATATATTTGTACCGTATTTGTGATCATCATCTTTCAAACATTATTTAGCATCATTTATTCTGCACAAACTATGCTTGTTCTGCACTATGTGTTTATCATATAAAAACCACATTTAAACTACATGTAAACCACTTGTTCCGTACATCCAATCCATTGTCACTATTAGTAACATAGCATAATATATAAAGTTATTTAATGTTTAGATTTCATGGTTAACGATTTTAAATTGATGTTCAAGTTAGATGTTAAGTCTTTACTTTATTTTTTTTTCAAAATTTTGGAGCTCTTATTGTAAAAAAATGTGAAATATCTTTCTTTGACTAAGGAACGTTTGTAAAAAAGTAGATGGCTAGACATTGCATGTTACCAACTATTGTTGGGTGTTTGAGTAGTCGTGGATCACTCGTGTGACTATTAATGAATCATGTTTGTGTGGTCGTGTGACTATTAATGAATTTTGACAATTGATGTATCATGTTTGTGTGGTCGTGTGACTATTAATGAATCATGACGGAGATTAATTGAAAGCTAGGCTAAACCATTTAATTGGATTTTATTAGGTGGCGAGTATAATATAGGAATAGTTGAATAACTATATATTAGCAAAACAAATGAAACTGACTAAAAATAAGTATGAAACATTGAAAATTAAGGTGTTCGAAGATTAATTACGTTTTTTTTTTTTTTTTAAATGTGTTAGTAGTTATACATCAGAATTATATTCAAAACTTGAATAAATGGTTTATCATATTTTACTATAATGGATATTTGTTTTTTTTTAATAGAAATTATATATGTAAAATGTGAAGAAATGGTATATAATTCTTTACTAGTAACTTGTCAATTTTGCGGATTTACAAGTGTTTCTCAATCATATATTTAGTTTATAAGCATATGGTAACATTCGAGTATGGCTAAAATGCATCATAGTCCATGTCCCGGAACTGACCAATATTGGAAAAAGAAACAAAACAGAGAAGAAGATGAATTTATGTAAATATGCACGTATTAATTACTCTTATTTAGGAAAATGATGATAATTAATATTAAAAACCAGATAATAATACAAAAGATTCGAGCAATCATGCTTTATTACACGACATATGCTATAAAATCTTTTCCATGTCTTAAAAGTGATCGCAATCACAAATAAGACCAAAACATGTGATTTTGCTTACTACATAAACGCGTGTATTTCGTTTTCATGCATTTAGAGCATACGTATATATAATTATTATTTTTGTAGTTTTATTTAATTAAAGTCTCAAAAAGGAATCTGATATCCAATTAATAAAACTAGTTTAAGCAAGCATGTATTACAATAAACTTACTAAACTATAAATTTATTCATGTATTAGTCTAATCAAAAATTTAGAATAAACATAAGGAATAGTCGTACGTACGTGCGTCAAGAATCTTAAGATTCTCAACAACCAGATGAGGTTTTAAGCTTTAACTTGTCTCTGTCACTAACATCTACTCAAACGCGGGTACTTGCTTCTCAGTAGGGATGTTGTGGTATGTTAGAAAATCCGGTCCGATCCGAATCCGAATCCGAATTAAGCATTCCTGACAAAAACCCAAACCTAAAATACCTGAATGCGTTTTTCGTGTTGTAGGTAAATTCGGGAAAACAGCATCATTATTTGTGGGTATCTAAATTTCTTTTTTCTTATGTTCTTATGTTTTAATTATATAATTAGTATTTAGATACCCACATGTGCTAATAGTTCAACTGGTAAAGATTTCTAGTAAAAGCTCATGAGAGGTCGCCGGTTCGAGTAGCGCTTGGGACGAAACTATATAGCATGCTCTGATTTCGGGTCTGAGAGGATGTATGAGCTTCGGCCAAGAACCTCTTTAATTATTCCAAAAAAAAAAGCAAACATAATATCAACAAAATTAAAGTAATATAGTAAATTACAACTTAGCTTCATATTTTCACGTATTCTATTTAGAATCAATTATGAAATATCAAATATATGAGTTAAAAATAGATTTTATTTGAAGGAGAATATGAGACAAAACTAACATTAGTATTTTATATTTTATAAAAAATAAAGATATAAAATAAGTACCCATGATTAAGCGTAAAACAATGTAGCTAAATATTAAACCGCATTGTTTACCTAAAAATAAGAAACATACATCAAATTTAAAATGATTAAAATCACCTAAAATAATTCTTCATTAAAAATCTCCTCAAGGAAGTAGCTCTCTTCAGAATAATTTAGGACCTAAGAGCAACAACAACAAGGAGATATTAAGGGGCTCTTAAGGGTAAAGATGATTAAAATTAAATCATTAATTAGTGTTATTACAAAGAACCGTCTCCTAACAGAGAGTTTTTTTTATTGGTTCAAGAGGCGCTGATATGTCGACGTGTGAGTGGGTAGAGTGTAAAATAGGAAAAGAAAAAAAGAATGAAAAGAAAAAACACAACCATCGATTCATTTTCTTTCTCAGCTCTCTCTCCTTGTTTATGAACTCAATAATCGTTGCGCTGGTGTTTTTAGAAGTACATTTATTTTTGTACGAAACCAAACATGATCATTTTATTTAAGTATAATATGGTCTTCTAAAATTTATTTATTGGGAAAAATATCATAGAAAATATCTTAGTCTCGACTAATGACTTAAGCTACACTGCTTATTGATAGTTTTACTCCATTACATGTAGTTAAACCGAAAGGATTGAAGAAAAAATAAACAACGGACAGTTGTTAACATACTTGACAAGCTGCGGAGAGGATCGCACATGGCGAGGCAGAGAGTCCGCTTTTACATTCAAATTTCTTGGAATAAGAGATAAAGAAAAAGTCGAGAATTCTTCCCTATCTGTGATTATGTCGTCCAGGTATGCAGAGAAAGCTGGCCATTCAGTAGGGGAAGACACCATCTTCACCAAATCAGAACAGTTAGTGAGAAACGTAACATCTCTGAAATCATGTCCTATCATACATCACATTGCCCACACCAGCGCTTTGACTTCAGCATGGAGAGGAGAGAGGCTTCGACGGAGATTTTTAGCACCCATCGTTGGAGAGGTCTCGTGATCGTGTTGACAGAACCATCCTAAACCTGCATAAATATTTGTCTCCTTTCCGGAACCGTCTATAAAGCATCTATAGCCAGTAAAGGTAGGAGGGAGATGGGTTGTTGATCGTTGTGATCACTTTCTCATCTTCTATCCCCATAAAAAAGACACCAATTGTAAGTCATCCAAACAAGATTGAATACAGTTTAAGAGCTCCATCAAAAACATCTTCTACTGCCATAGACATCAAAGCAGATTATGAGAACTAAACATCAATAACATTTCGTGGATAATAATAGCCCTGGGTGTTCAGTTTAAACGGTTTAATCGGTTCGATTTTTTTGGTTATCTTAAAATCATGCCGAATTGAACCGAATAAATATTCAGTTCGGTTTGTTTGGTACTTGCTTTATTTGGTTTGGTTATAAGACTTAAAATCTATTCCAAAATTAACCAAATTTATTCCTAATTTGGTTATTTTGAACCGAATTAGACCAAAATAAAAATGATGGACTCATATTTATTTACAGAACCAAATAAAAAGCCCAATATAAATTTTATAATTATGAAGCCCAATATAAAACTTTACAGTTACAATCTAAACCCATTAATATTTAGGGTTTCCGACAATGTGGTGAAGGCGACAGCGGCGACGTACGACCATTCGATCTACCCATCCGATGAATTGATATCCGCAAACCGCAAAGAAACGGTCTTCACAAGATCTTCCACCTTCATCATCTCTCTAGAAGACTAGAACTGAAAAAAATAACAAAAAAATTATTAGAATTAAAATCCATAACATGAATCCATAACTTAACACGAACCTGAAGCTTCATATTTGACAAGAAAGAAAAAGCTTCAACCGGAACTTTAAGAGCAACAGTGAAGAAGCAATAATGATGGTATCAGCAAAAGGAAGACTACACTAGTTACTTAGGCCATGTAACTACACTACACTACAATAATAATAATGATGTGGATGAGAGATGAGATGATGTGGAGGGTGTTGAATGATAAACCATTGTTGATAGTCTTAGGCCATCTCCAACCGTAAGCTGCTTAGTTGGTCTCTTAAAATAACAAAAATAATATTATTTTAAATATATAAATAAATTTTTTTTTTTAAACTGAACCAATCATCTGTGTTTTAAATAGCAAATAGTGGAAGAGACCGTATGTTAATATTGAACTTTTAAAGTCTCTGTACTCTCTCTCTCATGTTTTTAATATTTTTCATTTTTTTTTGTAAAATGTTTTGTTATGAACCCCTAGTTAGAATGATAATCGATTAGAGGCTGCAAAAGGTGTAGGTTTTTTATATATATACTAGTGGCATATGAGGTGTTAGGGTTTAGTTTATTTATCTGTTAATGGTGTTGAGTTTAAGCCCCATAAACACACAATTAATAAAACACGGGCTTGATTTTAAGCCCATGAACCACATTTAATGAAACGACAACAAGTCTGTTTTAGACTCATCGTCTTCTTCATAGCTTCTCATTGTTATCAATTGTGGATTTGCATGGTTAACTCAGATTCTTTGTGGATGGGAGTCAGATTCTACTGGGTTGGAAGAAAACCGAGACGTGATCGACTTTCGGTTTGAAAGATACCGACTTATGTTTGATTAAGTACTCCTTCTAAAAGGGCATGATAATAAAAGCCTAAACATGTACCGACTTATGTTTGATTAAGTACTCCTTCTAAAAGGGTATGATACTCTTTTTAATGAGCACATTGTAATAAGTCATAATCATCTAAAAAATCCAACAAAAATTAATACGATCCTCCTAGAATCGACACTCGGAAAGTTGAGAGAAGGATAGGCTTTGCGCCTGATAGCATCGATGAGGAGTTTGTTGTTGGCATTTCTTCTCGAACGTGATGACTTAGATTTTTCTTCCCCTGCCATTGAAACAACACAAACCAGTCACTAGTTCAAAGTAAAAAAAACATGAAAATTATGCTTAAAAACATAAAACTAGATCTATCAAAATAAATTATAAACTCAAGTTCACAAATTCCATAATTAATATTATAAAATACTAGACTCGATCTAGTCTAAGGATCACTTGATTTTATAATTTTTGGATAAGTCAATAATTTATGCAAAATTCCGACAAAATGACCAAAAATCCAGAAAAACAAAAACTGACGAAAATAAAAAAGAAAAATTAAATGGAATATGGATGAAGATTGAAATGAAATGATGAAAGATAATATAGATGATAGAGTACTCAACTTTTCAGAGTGTGATCTGATACCACATAATATGATCTTCCTAGAATCGACACTCGGAAAGTTGAGAGAAGGATAGGCTTTGCACCTAAGGGATCGTGAGATCACCACGATCCCTTAGACCAAAGGATGTGGAGCGAAAGGTCGCACAAAGGTTGCGGAAGAGCCTTTGATTTACCGAACTTGGACTTCACTAAGGATATTACACACCAAAGAAAGAACATGAGAGATGATATAACTTGAAAGGGGTTTTGATAAAAAGATAGATAAGTTACAAATGAAAGGTAGATGGGGATTATATAGGACAGGAGGATGAAGGAGAAGAAGGGAGAGAAGAAGTACATGCAAAAGCATGCACAAGTGTCTTGGTAATTACACTCATGCAAGTTTATGCACAAAGTCTTAGAAATAACAAACACATTAAATGCAAAATCAAAGAGAAAATATAGAAAATGGGTCAAGGCAAAGTGTTGGGCCTTGGACCCACAAAATTGGTTTGATAAAAGGCTTTGAAAGTGTTACGTAGGCTTCATCAAAAACCTTGTCAATAAAACCTAATGGGAAAAAACTTGACAAGGGAAAGAGATTGCATAAGCAACACTTATCCCTTTACCGAACCCCTTGAGCCGTGATGATCATTGAAGAGATTTGAACTAAAGCCATTGCGGTTTGATTAGCTTCTTTACAAGCACTTCCTCAGCTACAAGCTCATCCTCGGGTACGAGATGCTCCTTGGGTACGAGTTGCTCCTCGGTTACGAGCTGCTCCTCGGCTATGAGTTGTACCTCTGCTACGGATTGTTCTTCGTCTTCGAGCTCCAGGTTTTGTACGGCGATAGTCATATCAAAAATTCATACGACTCATGAAAACGATCATATGGTGATGATAATCTGGATCCAGGTTTAAACATGATATTAGATCTTTGAAATCAACAAACTCGTTCTAAACTAAATCATTGTTTTCCTACATCTTAACTACCATTAACACTATGGAACCATACGAAGACAGAATCCAAGCATCGGCGCCTACATAAACCCAGAAACGAAAAAACTTCCTTGAATACAAACTGAAACTAGAAGAGAAGAGAAAGCCACAAAAAGAGAAAACCCACACCGGCGGTGGCGGCGAAGATGACTACGAAGGTATGTAAATCGCCAAAATTATTCGGAAACCCTAAATAACGATTTGGGGGAAACAAATTTGAAAGGGAATGAATGATTTTGGTTTTAGGTTTTTTGTTTTTTGTCATATAATTTCAGTTTATTCTTTGTTTTTAATTACAAATGGCATAAATTTTAAATACAGAAAATAACTAGGTTTTAAAGTCATGTTGCAACTTTTATGTGCTATTTGAGTAAGAGTTTGGTTGGATATGTTGTTTGAGTAAAACAAAAAGCTTTTATGTGTTTTTTGAGTAAACATCGCTTAAATTAAATTGATTTGTATGTTAATTGATATTTTCCTCTTTTTGGGTAAAAAATTATATAATTTTTGATGACACCTGACCTTATTTACTTAATAATGATGTGAATAAAATAAAATAAAATAAAGTAACAGATAAAGAGAAATATAAAAGAATAAAAAGCATTAGAAAATATAATAAAAACTCGTGGGTACCCAAAAGCCGATAGGTTAAAACCCATATTAATTTTGATATAAATAGGACATGCCTGTTTTAAGCCCGTTTTTTTTTCAATGTATAAAATCTAGGTACTCGGCTTGAAATTTAACCAGGTTTTGGATACCGACCAGGTTTTTGCGCATCATTAACATCTTTAGGTGTAATCGTTGAATTATGACTAGAAAGAGGGGATGATCTAGGATCTTGGGTTTTCGTGTGTTTTGTTTCTAATTTATTTATTTGTCCTGGAAATTCTGGATCAAGATTAATTTTTTTTTAATTTTTGGTTTTGTTAAATTATTTGTTATGGAATTATCATAATTGGAATTGGGTTTGTTGGTTTAATGTTGATATGTTGTTTGATTTAATTAAGTATTATGAAGTTGTAACACCCGTGTTCAGAAATGGGTGGTATCGATTAACACCAAGGAAGCGTGTCGATCGACACCAATAATTTTCGTTTTGACCGGTTTGTTTTAAATAGTAAAATCAATTTGGGTGGGTTAGTTTAACCCTAAGGCTCGAGTTTTAAAATAGGAAAATGTCGACTTTGGAGTGTCTAGCCGCTTTTGTCTTCTTCTTCCAGATAGTGAAAAGTTTCTAAACTTTTCCTTTCTTGGAGGTACTTTTTGTGAGTTCTAATGAGATTTGAGAGTTTTCTTGAGAAATTTAGAAAAAGGGAAGGTAGGATGCGTGGCTGTGGTGTTAGGAGAGTCTTATGCTGCTCCGGATTGTGTTGTTTTTGTCATTGTTCATTCCATATTAAGGTGACTGCATGACCAAGGCTTATCTAAGCAGTTTGATCATTTTTTTTCGGTGATTTTGTAACGTCCCGAACGCCATCTCTCGAGTGGGGCCCATGTTCACCACGAGCCCATGGGCCCACCGCTCTTAATGGGCCTCACGTCCTCTGAAACAACCCATCTCGTTTTCCAACTATTAAATTCATCAATATCAACCCTATAACTAATATCAAACGAAAAAAATAAATCAAACAAGCAATAACCAGCGGAAACCAACCAATCGATTAAGCAATTAAACCAGCAATCATCCAAACATTAATCAGTAACCAACTTAGCCAGCATTCCTAACATGCTTCTAATTCCATTATTCCTAAACAATAAATTTAAATAACAAAACGCTAAAACCCAAATAGCGACTCTAGATCATCGCCCTCTTCCTCACCTTGATTCCACGATAACATTTTATCTTTACCTGCATCACAAAAACAATGAGATGCGTGAGTTTTATCACAAATACCCAGTGAAGCGGTGGTCCCATATACTGGGCTATACACAAAGGCTTAATAAGACCAACAAACATGTATAAGATTAGTCAGAGCAACCAAACCATGCATAAAAGACACCGACTACTCGCTGTCCAGAAAACTGTCTCGAACTAGTGTCGATCGACACTACCTCCGCAGAAGCCCTAAAATCGCATTTCCACCCTCGTGAGACCGATTTCACCACCCTAAACCATCAATAGATACAAAACAACATCCACAACACACAAACAAGCAAAATCACAATAATTCCAGCCACACAAATCAATCAAACACAAATCATAAGGTCTTATATGCCTAGATCAACCATGGTCACACACTCACCTTGATGTGGATTGAAGGCTCGACGAAAACAAAGAATAAACAAAAAAAGACAAGACCCTCCTTGCACCACCAGCCACGAATTCAATCCTCTTCTTGTTAGAACTTACAAGATCCAGCCACAAAAACTTCCAGAAACCCTCTAGAACCTCTCCTTAAGCCTCAGGAACAACCCAACACACAACTATCTCTCTCTTTTACTTTCATAAACATCCAAAGCCAAAAAGTGAGAAGAAAGTGGAGGCCCTGGAGTTTTATATCGAGATTAGGACTTTCCCTAAACCAATTTTGGTTATACCGATGATTTAAAACCAAACCGCCCAAACCAAAATTTGTTGGTGTCGATCGACACCCAAAACAGGTGTCCGTCGACACTAACAAAATTTCAGAGACAAGTGTTACATCCTCTCATTAGGCCCATGAGCACATCAATATCCGACGGTTGGTTTGCTACGTCTGTGAGGCTTAAATACTTGTTTACCGACCCTACAGATCACCATATAATCTTTCCCTGTGTTTTGGCCTTACTCAC